CAGGGGACAAGTTGGCAGCAGGAGACCTGCAGGAGGGATGCTGAGGCTGGCTTGGGAAGGCAGGGCTGGTGAGGGAGGACAGGACTCCACATCTCTAACAGAGACTCCCAAGATCCATGAGGTGTTACTGTGGGAACAGGAGGAAGGATGGAGCTGGGAGGACGCAGACATCCAGGCTCCACAGCTGAGCACATCATGGCCCCATCCGCTTCCTCTGAGCGTAGACAGCCAAGGGAGGGCTGGTGAACTCAGGTTTGGACATGGCATTTGGGGTGGTACTGGCAGGTGGAGAGCTGGGCTGGTTGGCACACAGACAGGCACCTTCAGAACCTGGGTGGCCAGTGTGAGGAGACACCTTTGAGAGTCTTAAACATAGACAAAGTCTGTGGATGGAAGGACATTCAGTGGGGGAATGTAAGTGGAAAGACCTGGTGCCCAGGAACAGAACCAGACACCATGGTGCCGTCCCATGACCATGCCTCACACAGCAAAAGGGCTTTGCAGTTGGACTGGGGGAAGGACCTTTGGTCAGGAGGGTGAGCTGGGCTGCCTAGAGATTCCCCATAGACTCAGGGGTCCTAACCATGCAGAGACAGGAGAGTCTGTGGGGAGAAAGATGGATGGGTGAAGGATGAAGGGATCACCTCTATGTGGCCGAGAGTTGAGAGACACGGGACAATCTTCCCTGGAGCTGCCAGAACCACCGGCCCCATTAACCTCTCAACCTTATTCTACAAAGCTACATTTTGGGCTTATGGCTCAGAACCGATAGAGAATAAATCTGTGTTGTTCAAACCCACTAAGTATGTGGTAATTTGCTCCAGTTAAGTAACAGTTGGACAAAATAAATAATTCACCAAGGAGAAAAAAGGCGAGTCCCACAGGAAAAGGTAGGAGGTGAGTGGAGCCGAGGCAGGTGCACTGGGGAGAAGGATGGTGGGGGACTCGGGGGAAAGATTTCTGTGGGGAGGAAAATTGCCTATTTGGGAGAAGATGTGGCTGCAAAATGGAAAACGGGACAAAGCACATCATATAATGGAGTGTGAAGGGAGGCGAGAGAGGGGAGGAGCTGGCTCTGGGTGCCAGCACCAGCCCCGGTTAGGAAGAGGGGGCTTCCTCAGACCCTGCAGGAAGAGGACAAGCTGGCACCGCGAGGAGGAGAGGGTACATTTCTTCTCCCACTAAGAAAAAGGCAGACAAGAAGCTCTGGAGAAAACAAATTCTTCAGGGAACACAAGGCACAGTGAGCAGTGGATGTAAGTGATGGCCTGCCTGTTGGTGCAGAGGTCACCTGCGCCAGGCCCTGTGCTGGGATTCGAGAACCTTGGAGGAAGGTCTGGGTGCTAGGAGCCGGCTCTGGGAGGGTAAGAGAGTAAAAATGTTTCATGGTCTTCAGGCCCCCAGGACAGGCACACTTGGAGGAGTGGGAAGAGGAAGAGGAGGAAGATGGAGGGAGGGAGGGAGAGAGGAAAGGAGGGAGGGAGAGGAGGCCCCTCCCAGCAGGCAGCTGTGACCCTCTGTCCCAGGTGGACCGTGTGTCTCAGCACTGTGAAGCTGGCACCTGACCTTCCCCGAGCCCCACTGACTCTGACTGACCACAGGCCAAAGGCTGACCCTGGCCAGCCCAGCCTCCTGCCACAGACCCACACTCGGGCAGGGTGGCCCCTCCTGGCCACTCTCAGGCTGACTGCCTAGGGCAGGCCGTGTGACTTGGGCAGGGAGAATTTGAGACAACAGAAAGAGTGATTCACCAGCAGCAGGAGAGCTGAGACCTCGCTGAAGATCCCACGGGAGGGCAGCAGGTCAAACACCTGCACCCAGATGAACTTGAATTTCATGTAATCTATGAACTGTCTTTTGTCCCATGTAACTTTTACCAAAAGCATCATTCATGGTTGTTCAGAAATTCAATTTTAGCAGGAACCCTGCATTTTCATTTGCTGCGTCTGGCCACCCGACATGGCCTGGGTAGAATTAGAGTCCACCTCCACCTGGCCCATGTGGCCACAGATGACCGTGGATGATCACCAGCTCCTCACCACAGCCTTCCACACACCAGGCGCCCTGACAGAAGGGGCTGGTGGAAGGGAGGAGCACTCTGCCCTCGCCTACACCCCTCTCCTGTCTGTGAGTGGGGCAGGGTCGAGGTTTCCTGCACTTGGCCCCTGTTCTCCCACTGAGCACAGGTGGCAGTGGGTCTCACTGTCCGGGATCCCATG